GACATGGAGGGGTGTAACTGACGCGTATCTGGGCAAATTGTTTCTGGTCCACTGAGTTCAGGATGAGATTTAATCAAAGCAAAGGAGCTGCAAGTTAGGCATATGAAAATCTTTCTAGCCAGGAGATCAGATAAGTGCTGGAAGGGAAATACCCTGGGAAGTCCAGGAAACCCCTCTGTTGATGGTGCTACCTATAATTTAGGTGCACCTGATCCTTGACAGTTGAGTTAGGTGATCTTCTGAATCAATACTAGACTTCTGCTATTCCTTAACTTCTGAGACAGTGCTGATATATTTAATAATCCTCTAGTAAGCACCTTCTGCTCTTTATAATAACAAAACAATCAAACAACTACAAAAAGGTTCAAAGCATCTCTTCTAAACATATTTGTATTTTCCTTTGAATTGAGGGGGAAAATATTTCTGCATAAAATCTTGCCACGTTAATTGGTTATTTCTCTTAGCAGCTTTTCTTTCAAATGATTCACTGATTCCTCAAGAACACACTGCTAGATGAAGCCATACGGATAACTAAAGCAGTGTACACAGTAGCAAAGAACAAGCTAGAATGTCACAGTGTGGGACTAAAGAGTAAAGTCTGGTGCAAAGATATGATACGTATATCTTCATCTAGGGATCACATGGCGAGGGGGTAGGAAAATGAAGTCAGTTTCTGTAGTGGTGGTGGGAGTAAAAAGTGAGGGACAGACACAGGCTCTGTCAGCAGGAACAAAAAGCTACCCACCTGTTGTGTCTCATATTAATGTCTCTGCTCCTTGATCTTAACATCACAGCACCTTTCTTATGAATTTTGTTCTCTTTGAATCGTTCATTGTTGCATCTTCAGCAAGGGAAAGCAATATTCCTGACATAATCCCTATTCTGTAAAAAGAGAACTTAAGAAAAATGTGTAAGGACCATTATTCTATTTCATAGCTGAAATGCTGAAGCAGGGAGAGAATTAAAAAACAGCTACCCTCTAAAGCTATGGTTCTTCAACTATTTTGTTAGCCTACTTTATGGTGTAGCTGTAGTGGTGCTTGTGATTGCTAGCAGAAAACAGAATGTGGTGTAAGACAAAGAATGGGTTGTCAAGAGCCAAGGAGAAGGATGACCATATTGACCTCAAATAAGATTGAAATAGTGCATGGAAACTTAAAATTGGTGCATTAGACCACTCATCTCTGATTTACAGAATCAGGAAGAAAACCTAATCTCTTCGCTTCCAGGCCCTTTGCCTTCTCTATTGGATTTGTCTCATGCTGTTCAAATTTTATTAAAATAACACAAAAAAGTTCCTCTTTCCTTAATTTTTTTTTAAATTTTAAATCATTCTATCAGTCTTGACTAATATAATAATCATAACAAATTATTCAGCTGTATCATAATTATAATATATACTTATATCACTCCAGTATGTGGAGTAGCATTAGGATGATTTCTTTATGATTTCAGCCCCTTCTTTTTCTGTACCACCAGTTCTCCTGCCTGTCTATTCCACCTGGCTGATTGAGTTTTATGAGGACTGCTCCAGAAGTAATGCCTCCTATTTTATTGTCTTGGCCCACAGCATCAGAGGCATTGGTGGTAAGGCAATAGAGGCTGAACCTTGCCAACAGTATTCCATTACGTTTTGTTACTGTGCAACAAATGGCAGCAGAGAGGCAGTCTGACAAAATGATATCTGACTTGGAAGTGCATATGGAGCAAAGATGTGTCATCAAATTCCTCCATGCAGAAAAAAAATGGTCCCTATTGACACTCATCTACACTTGTTGGATGTTCATGGAGTCCAAACAGTGGATGTGAGCATAGTGCGATGATGGGTGTTGTATTTCAGCAGTGGCAACAGTGATGTGAAAGACAAACCATGTTCCAGAGACATTATTTTTGGAGCAATCTATATAATAGCCCAGAGATATCCTCATAATGATTCACTTAAATATGATTGCTTTAGTTGAACAACAGCATGTGGAAGAAAATAATGATAACAGTAATTGTAAAGTAGTGAGTTGTATCTCCATCTCACTGAAATGGTCATATTCAATTTAATGCACTGAATCAGTATTTACAAAATCAGAACATTTCCCTATATCTCTCTCACTCTATATGTATTACACATATATATTTGTATCCCTTATAGGAACAATAAACACGCACTCACTCTGGTTTCATGGTACATCATATGACCATGTGTGTATATACACAGTGACTGATAGATGATGCACTGTATCATTCCTATACACAAACATGCCCAACTCTGTCATTTTGTTGTAGGTCTTTACTGTTTTTGTCTCCGCACTTTTATCTTCTGAGCTGGCACTTAACAAAATTGAAGCATCACAACCCTTGGATTAAAATGCCAGTATCATTGTTGCTACTTCTGTTGGACATAAGTATAATCTCCCTCTTCTTGAAAATGTTCTAGATTTCTGTAGGCTTATGTCTGCTTGTAAGGTTGTACTCTATTACCTATAAGAGTGGAAATTAAAAAAGAAAAAAATGCATCTTTTTTATTGCCTGAGTTAATGTTCTGTTGACAACTGACATGCAGTATTATTATTTTGCATTTTCATCAGTTTTTGTTAAATTGCATACTACTAAATAAAATATTTTATTGAAATCTGCTATATTATTACTATCTTCATTAGGCAACTTTCATCAACAACAGAATTGAGAGCTATAAAATGTACTTTTTGTAAGCCCACAGTGATGTACATTAATTACATTAGTCTCCTTAATTATTTATTGTTTTTTACATTTACCATTCCATTAGTTTTCTCTCTATTGTCATCAGGCTCACAAGCTTATATTTACCTGGATTATCCAATTTACTGCTTAAAATGTCATCAAGTTTCTTCTGAATGCTACCATATTTTTCCCACTGGAATAATGGGGTAAAAAAGAAAGAAAAAAAAAAAAGGATCTATATACTCCTCCACCATCCCTTCTAAAATAATGAGATACAAATTACACAGCACTGTGGTTTTAAAATTATAAACTTCGGTATCAGCTCATTAATGTCATCCTAAATTATTCTTGATATGGAAATATTTAATAGTCTCAGCCCTACCAAACATCTGTCTCTTCCCAGATACACAACAGAGGTGCATATTGATCCCTTTAATTAACTGTTACTAAAGCCAAGGTTTCCTTCTGGTAATTAATCACTATCAGAATTCTTGCAGTTTTGGTTTATTCGGGAAATTACTCCTTACGCAATATAGGAAGTAACTCACTCTTTGTACCTGTTTCACTTGATTAAACTTCCACATTCTTAATCTCTGTCTTATGATCAGTATTTCTCTTTTCTTATGAAATTGTGACTTTATTTCTGCTTGGTGTTTTAACTGATGTGATGTTCCTTCTGGAGAAAGATAATGACTTTTTCAAACAGTATTGATGCTTAGAAGTATTCTTAATATGCTCCTAATTAGCATTCATGATCTTCTGTAATTATTTCTCATCTCTTACTGGTATGGTCTCCAATTGTTTCTCCTTTTGAATTGATTTATTTTAAAGCTACAAGTATGATAGTGGTTTGGACACTAGTCACTCTTGCAGGTTACAGTGCATTCTGTCACAACTTCTTGTACAAAAGTTACCACTGATTTATAGGTCTGTGATCTATTTTCTTCATCTGCTAAAATGACTTCTTACAGAATGTACTTGTTCTGGATGTAGTATTTTTTTAGTGAGAAATCTGTTGCCTCTAAACACTAGACGGTCAATAGAACCATCTCCCCTCCTGTGCCCATAAATGTTACTCATAATGCAGTTATTATAAAGCTGGTATATTCCCCTTCTTTTTAAAGTGCAGGTGGAATTGTCTTGGGTTTTTAATTTGCTGCTGTAGTCTATGGAGGACATCAATCAGTAAACTATGTTGTATTTATCTGTTATAGCACTGATTTCATAAGCATTTGGCATCCTGTTGCTCTTGAGCTGTCAGAATCAATTTAATTTTTGACATAAAATGCCATTTTCCTTTCATTTTTTTCAAGTCACTCCTTTATAAGTCTTATTTTTTTTTTTCAACAGCCCAAGTATAAGATGCAACCCAACAGCCTTCAGTAGTAAAACCTAGGTTTTCTGATGTATAGGCTGATCTCCCAGTGTTGCACAGGCCAACAATTACCTTCTTATTTTCCAATGTCTGTGTGAGTTCAGGATGCTGAAGACCAGCATTAGTCTGCATTAGCAATGACAACAGGTACCAGATGTTCCTGCTGGTGTTGGTGACGCTGTTTGCACCAGGACAGAACCTCTGCCATAGATGTGTGAAATGCAGCTGGTGATGTTGAAGCAATGCAGATGTAAGATGTGTTTCCCCAGCTGTAGGGCTTTTCTGCAAAATAATCTAGGCTATCCTTTTTATGAACAACTGCAAGCCAAACTGATCACATCTTGCCCTGTCTTCCAGGAAAACCAAGAAATAAGAATAATTCTACAAAAGTCTTTTCATTAGAATCAAAGCAATTTTTTCAAATGTTTCCAGCCATCTCAGTTGTTCAACCCACTTTCTGAACGACTGCACCCTCTATTGGAGTAAAACAGATCGACTTCCAAAGCAGATAATTTATTTTTACATTGTTTATATCCTTCTGGTTCTTACAGGCATAATACAACAGCCCATTCATGTGACAGTAAAACAAGCACGGTCTTACTGATCTTAGATTACAGGGGAAGTGTGAATATCCAATAAAGACTTTATATGATTTCTCTATACCCTGAGTTAATGAAAAGTATGTAAATAGCTCTGTACATTCAGGGTAAAATGAGAAAGGAATAATAGAAATGAATATATTTTCTCTTATAAAACACAGTCCAGAAAGAAGTATGTTGTTGGGTTGGGATTTTTTTGGTGTTTTTTTGTTTTTTTTTTCTTGTTGCGTGAAGTTATTTCAATTAATCAAAGCTTTGTGGGGAAGTAAATGTTTGAACAAACGAAAGTGACATGAAATAGACAATTAACTATGATGTTGCATCTCATCAAACAGGTGATTCTCTAATGGACCAATGAAAGCCAACAATGACAAGTTGTGGTCAACAGTCCTTGAATGTGCTGATGGTTCTGCTTTCATTACTCTTGTCAGCAGGTAACTAACTTTCATATCTTGAATTTATCTGTCAATGTCATGAGAAAAAAAACGTTCAAATGAGTTGTTAATTGAGTAACAAATAAAGCATCTTTGCATCTGACAGCCAAGGCTGAAATGTGAAATGTAATTGAAAATTCAGCTTAAGAAGAGGTGGTGGGGCACTGACATAGTTTACCAGAAAAAGATACTCTTTTGCTGTAGTAGTTTTTCAGCTCGCTTAAAATGAAAAAACAAAATCCACACCACTGTAAAATCCAACCATGATCATCTATTTGAAAAAAAAGCAAGTTGGGTACCAAATGTATGTTTATATGTGTACACAAAAACACATCAGCATGTGAAAGATTGAACATTGAATTTAACTGTATTTGAAATGAGTACACATCAGATATGATCTAACTTACATTACATTTATATATATATACACACACATACTTAAAGAAAAATGCATGACATGATAGTGTGCAAGTATCATTATTTTACCAAATCTGAAGAACTAACAGAACTTGAAGGGAATATGTGTTTCTTTCTGCAGATACTCACTAGATCTGCCCTAGATATTTGGTACTAGCACACAGATTTTGCAGCAATCTGTTAGCTGTTATATTGAGAATTAGTTGAATGCTATGATTGCTAGTTGCATTTGTTCTTCAGAAGTTATCTGTGACATTGAAGACATGGATTTTTATTTATTTATTTATTTATTTTGTAATGATAGATGAATGTTTAAACAACAAAAAGGAGGGGTGAATATTCATAGCCCAAATAGATTTGGTCATAGGAATTTTTAACTCTGAGTAAGACCTCTTTTGCCCTCCATTCCTGAAGTGCTTTTTAACTGAAAATGTGGTTGATGTTTTTTTTCCATCATTGCTCCATATTCCCTTGTACTGCACCACATTTATAATCACTATATTTAAAACTTTGCCAGAGATCATATATCTTCAGATATCTTTGTTCTTCAGTAAGAGTTGTCACGTTATTGCATATGTGTGATGCCTGTAATATGCAATGCTATATCCCTATCAATTATTTGATGTATAGATTTTCTTTCCCACAGTACTGATGCTTGTTTGCAAATGTTCGGTATCTTACTAATGATAGATCATTATCTAGCTTTGGATCTAATCTCCTTTTGTGGGAATCAAAGTTAGTTTAGTTAGTTAGTTTATCAGCTAAACTACTTGTTGGTATAATCTTAAAATTCTATTTTCTTGTGCAGTCTTTTCGTTGCTATCCCTGTGTATAGCTCTACATCCCTAGTTATCTAACTACCTGCCTCTTGTGCACAAGAATCAGGCATGGGAGGTCAGAGCAATCTCTTTGTCTTTTTTCAGGTTCAAGTCATTTCAGAAAGCTATTTCCCTGGTGTAAAAGAAAGTTATTCAAGAAGACTTCAGTGATTATATCCCACTGATCAAACATCACAAAGCTGTTCTGGTCTCTTCTTTTGATTTTTATTATGTTTTCGTACTTCTACTGCTCATTTTAGGGGACTTCCACTACAGACCACCTGAGACTCCACTTTTCCAATCATTTTCCTCAAGATAATTTAAATATACCTGTGTTCCAGAAAAATGGTTAATAGCACTACGTATGCACAGTAGTAGTCATCTGCTGCTACACCTGTTACCTCAAACACAAGCAAAAAGCCAGTGGCCTGACATATTTCTTTCTTAGGAGACAAAACTTAGTGCCTCTGAAATACAGTTTTTTATTTGAAACTAGTTATATATGACCTTTAGTTCTTACATGATTTACCTACTAATAGTAGTAGTCAATGTGTAGAGTGCAGGATTCATTTGCGGTCACCACAAGTCTTCCATGCTATGTTCCACTCACTGCGGAATCTGATAGCTGTAGGATTAGGTTTAATTCATTGCTAAATGACCTCTCATGGGACATGAATGAAAGGATAACATTTATTATTTGTTATTTTGCATCCAACATGAGTGTACTTTTTTTTTGCCTAGGATCAGCTTCCATAAAGGAAAACTAATGGATCATGCACTGAGATTGATGGGGAAAAAAGAGAGACTGCTATTCTCACCGAAATTATACAAACAGCATTCTTAAACTGAGCTGAAATGAAAATTCTAAAGGCAAATCTTCTTGAGTTTCCTAGATTTTCAGATTTCATGGGTAAAATTGTGCCTCACTTCCAATCTTTGACATACAAATACATGCCACCTTAGTACTCAAGTTCTTAAATCTCTACGCATGCTTGCAAACTGCACTTGGCAATTGGAAGTGTAACTGTAATTAGCTAAGCAGGCAGAAGGAAAGGGCAGAAATAACATGCAAGTTCTCAGAACAGCTGTTCTGAGGGCCCAAACTCATTTTTGTCAGAAAAGAAAACAGTGGCAGTAGGTCTGGTACTGTGGTGGTGGCTATGGATGAGGCTAAAATTCAGCAGCTTGAGCTGTGTGGTTAGAATCACAGAACCACAGGGGTTGGAAGGGACCTCCCTGCTAAAGCAGGTACCCTACAATGGGTCACACAGGTAGGCATCCAGACAGATCTTCCATATCTTCATAGAAGAAGACTTCACAACCTCTCTGGGTAATCTTTTCCAGTGCTCCTCCATTGCCCTTACTGTAAAGAGGTTCTTCCACGTGTTAGTATGGAACTTCCTACGTTCAAGTTTTAGGCCATTGCTCCTTGTCCTGCACATCACCAAGAGTCTGGCCTCATCTATTTGCCTATCTCCCATTAGATATTTATAAACATTTATCAGATCCAATCTGTCTCCTTTTCCCCAGGCTGAACAGACCCAGGCTACTCAGTCTTTCCTCATATGGAAGATGCTTCAGGAGCTTTATCATTTTTGTGGCACTCCACTGGACTGCTTCTAGGAGATCCCTGTCTCTTCTGAACTGGGAAACCCAGAACTGGAGACAGTAGTCTAAACAGCCTCACCAGGGCAGAGTAGAGAGGGAGGATCACCTCCCTCAACTTGCTGGCTTTTTAACATGCCCCAAGATGCCATTGTCCTTCTTGGCCATAAGAGCACACTGCTGGCTCACAGCCAATCTGATGTCCACAAGTACCCCCATGTCCTTCTCCATAGAGCTCATCTCCAGCAGGTCATCCCCTAATCTGTCCTGATGCATGCAGAAGTAGTTGCAATAGAAATATATAATAGAATATATAGAAAGGAGTTATAATTTCCCAACATGGGCAAAATTTTCTGAGAGAAGGGAGAAATAGACTCCATGAAGAAAAAAAAAAAAAAGATAAAATCGAATTAGGCATACTGAAACTTCAGACTGATTTTGTTTCAGTGTTATCACAATAATGCACAATTTCAGAATACATGGACGTTTATTAACTGTACTAACTGAACAGGGAGTGCCGAATAGAGGGAGAAGCAGCATGCAGTCATACTGTAAGAATATCCTTTCAGACCACTGTAATGCCTATTTTTACTCTACAGAAATATTGATAGTTAAATTCATGTAAGGGATTGAAATACATAAAAGATGGCATCAAAGCTTATACTAGCAAGCAAAATTTGACATTATTTGCATGTTACATTAATTATCCTTTCAATTAAAACATGAATGTTTACATAGCAAAATTGCAGAGACTCTCAAATGATTGGTGTTGTGCTAAGTAAAATGTAAATACGTGAATATTTGTGTGGATTTATCTGAAAAGCTTATAAAGATCAGCCATTCTGAAAATTTTGGTACTTGAAAAATTATGTGACTAAATTAGAAAAAAAAATGAGCATTGCACAGTTTAACCATGAACAGGTAGGGCTGCAGTAGCAGCTTAATGTACACTGGCTGTTTACTTTTTATGGTAGACTAGATAAATTTTAAGATGAGCTCAAATCAGTCCATTGAAGCATGGCAGACTATTCTCTGGAAATTAGTAGGAACAGAGATAGGAGCATCTATATCATCAACCTGTTCAGTAATGCCTTTCAAAAACAGGATGTGAATTTGCACATGCAAATCCACTCCAGAAACAGCTGCCATCTTTGCAATACACAACCCACAGCCTTTCAGTTACATTACTTTTATCCTAAGTATTACTGTAGAGATAAGGCTCTTTCATGCTCAGGATTTAAGTTATTTTCAGAAAAAAATACTTTGTAAAACATTATACTTTAGTTTGCTCTAGGAATCAGACATCCAATAAGCAAATACAGCAAGTGAAATGATTGATTTATTGTAAACTGTATAATGCTTTTTCACGGTGTACTGGATTTGGCTGGATGGGATTATTTTTCTTTCCAGCAGCTTCTGTGGTGCTGTGTTTTAGACTGGTGACCAATAGAGCATTGATAACACAGCAACGCTGCAGCTGTTGCTGGACGCTGCTTACACAGCATCAAGGCATTTTCTGTTTCTCACTGGGGCTATATGGCTGGACCACATTGACCAAACTGATATTCCTGAGCAGATAATGTTATGCCCAGCCATAAAACTGGGACAGGAGTTTGTTGTTTTTTTCTTTTTTTTTTCAATAATTGCCGTTGCTTGAGGAATGGACTAGACATCTCTCCACTGGTGGTGCGTGATTGCCTTCATGTCACCTATTTTTTTCTTCTGTTCTTCTTCACAAATTAAACTGCCTTTATCTCAACCCACAAGTTTTCTCACTTTGCCCTTCTGATTTTCTTCCCCCTCTCACTGGGAGGAGGAGTTCATGAGCGACTTTGTGGTGATAGCTGCCAACCAGGGTTAACCCACCACGCAGTGACTAGTAAATTCAGACCAGAGCTCAAACATCACTTCATGCTTTTTCTTGTCTATTTATTTTAATCGCTAGCACACATTTTACTATTTAAGGGTTTGTTTGGGAATACATTTTATTAGAAGCTTAACTCACGCTCTGACCCAATATTATCTTCTATTCTGCCTCCTCTCTGTAGTCACCCTTTCCCATGTTTTCATCACCAAATTCAGCTGTGTTTAAGTTTCCTTCAGAATGGTTAAAGAACCTGTCTAGGGATCAGAGAACATTTCACATGTGCTGATAAGTAA